TTCAGATTTTTTCATTGGCTCTGATCAATCCATTCGACTTCATCATTCTCCGCTCTGACTTTCTTTCCCCGTCATATGTATCAATGACTCAACTTCCAGGGTGTCAACACTTTTACGATCAAGAGACTTGTTTTTTTTTTTTCTATTTATGAAAAAAAAAACTCTCTCCCACAACTTTTCTACCTCTCGCTGCATTTCATTTCAGGGGATTCCCCGGGCGAATTTATGTACACAAAAAGAAGAGGAACGCGAGCTTTACGACCTGACGCAGAGCGTTTTCCGAGTGACGGAGGGCCAGGAAGAAGAAAAAATACGTTTTCATTTATTTATTTTTTTTATACGATCAACCGGTGACTTTCCGGTGAACACGTATCGAATAAACGTGAATATAACTACTGGGATTTATGGATTATTTCCCTCCTACTCCGCCCTTCGGGCGTTACATTGTTTTCAAGAAAAAAAAAATTTACGTAGTAATTATTTGATTTAATTACAATTCATTTCATCGTGGTTGTATAATATTCATTAGAAATATAAATTCTTCGGACTAGTCTCGGGCCTTCAAAAGAATATTATACGATTCAAACACCCAATCCTAACCTTTTACAGTCAATTTTGTCCAAAAATAGCTGACTAATCTCTCGAAAATTTACCAAAAATTTGAGTAACTCATCGAAATTAAATTGCTTTGAGATGGATTCCGCAATGTGTTGGTTCAGCATTCCAAATCCATCTAATGTGATGCCTACAGAGAACTTCTCCGTGACTTCGATTTGCGTGAATTCTAAACATTTTGTGGGAGTCTTCTTCAATTTCATCTGCAGAAGAAGAACATTTGGATCGGAAGTTACTGTGAAACGACCAGTCTGAGGGATGCGTACAATACGTGTCTACGAGAAAGTAATTTTTAATTTCAATCGACTGGAGGAATAGGTTTTATCATAGATACCTCATGTTGACCGGTCAGCTCAAGTTTTGGTATAGAAAGTGTAATTGACACCTTAATTTCATTGTTCCACAAGTCAATCGTTGGTTCAGAGGAAATTTCCATGTAATTAAGATTCCTAAAATATTCGTCAATATTTCATGTTCAGTCGGAATATTGTTTGAAGGATCTTTAAATATTTTCCTAATCCCTTACCTCACTTTCAGGGAATGCAAAAGTACGATGCAAGCATCAGTTAGGTTCTGCGTAATATCCTGTATCAGGAGCTGATTATTTGAGTCCAAATAACAATATTTTGCTTTCTCTAGAACGTCGTTGCTAATGTTACTTATTCGGAGCTAGAATTCACGTTTTTATGTTGACATTAACATTTTTACAGATGGTACACAATAAAAATTGAGATGAGTCAAGTGAGAGATAAGTCTAAGTCAAGTGAGACTGAGTTACGTCTAGAGATCAGATCACATCTTCTAGAATGAACTCGAATCAAATGAAAAATGAACTTGAATCAAGTCGAAGAATTGACTTGAGATGTCAAATCACTTGATTCATGCACTCAATCCGCCATTAAATAATTCAATTCCC